AATAAAGGCCTGGACCGCGATGCACTTGAGTGAAATAAAGGCCCGGGCCTATATTAGAGAATTTACGGTATTATGACTTTATTCTCGTAATTTTATAACTTTATTCTCATAGTTTTACTACTTTATTATCGTAATTGTACGACTGTATTCACTGAATTTTACGACTTTATTCTGGAAATAGAAGAATAAAAGTTCTATTGCTTGGCCCTAATACTCTGTCGTAGTTAGATAGATGTCAGTAGATCTTATTTAATGTTTCTAGTAGGAGTAAGAAGTACAACCGACTCCAAATAAAGTGGGAACATCTCTGGAGTAACTTTAGTTTCCACATTTGGCAGGGCTGCTACAATCAACGTATCTTTCTCCTGTCTGCCTTCTTGTTTATTTGTTGTTTATGTTTGTGTGAAGGGATTCATCAAGAGTGAAGCAGCTGGAGGAGAAACTGTCAGCGGCCCGCAGCCTGCTGGCCCAGCAGAAAGCACACGAGCTGTCCATCCAGAAAGAGCACAGGAAGGCCGACACACACAAGAAGATGACAGAGTTTTAACCTGTTTGCTCTAAGACTTCAGAAAGACCCTGATTGCCTCTAAGGAACTCAGAGTTCTCGCTTACTGCCCTGTTTTTTTTTTTTTTAAGATCCTTCTGAATAATTTACTACTGGCACCTTGGCTATGTGCTGGAAGAAGAGTCCTTTTTTAAGTTTATGGATGCTTGACTGTACAACCAACAATGTTGTTAAAAATAAACTTTTAGTTGTCATGAACAAATGTTGATTTTACCACAGCTTCTTAGCGTTGTGGGGTCTGTTTTATCTGCCTTATTGTGGTCAAGTAATACAGCTGCAGCATTGGTTTTTCTAATTCTGTAACATTACAACCACTTCATTTATTGGATTTTACATAAACTAGTTTATAATTGTGGAGAAGAGGTCAAAGGAGCAATGAAAGGTAAAGTTTCTACTTTTTTAGGGGCCTCAGTCAGTCGTCTGTAGATCCGCCTTTTATTGTAACAAAAGATGCAAGTCTAGTTTCTGTTTAAGCTACAAGCGTTCCACATTAAAGACAAAGGTGTGTTTGCCTGGGATATTTTTAGAAAATAATTTGGATTTGAATAACAGCTGAACAGTAATGTAGAGGTGTGAGATTGTCATTTAGGTCCAGGTCTAGACTTTGACTAGGCCACTTAAAGAAAAACACTGATCTAAAGCAGGTAAAGAAAAACACGATCCAAAGCAGGGGGTCTTTCTACGTTTCTTAGTCTAAGACCCACAGATTGATAGACGGAGTGAGGATCCCCTGCCTTTTGTCAAGGGTATTTCTGCAGTTATCAGGTTATAGCAAAGGTGAAAGAATAACTAAGTAAAAATACATGAAGAGTCAGAAAGTTGTTTACAATAATAGGGAAAGTGAAAGTATTTATTACTTACAAAAAAAGCAAGATATTTTTTTATTAGTCTGTTTACATTCAGTGGAGGTAGACATTTGGGAAAACTCACTTTAGTCCAAAGAAAACATGTATAAAAGCAGCCCTGTCCATAAGAGGTCGGCGTAATACAAAAGCTGACATGTAGAACAACACGAATCCACAACCTTGCTGTAAGCTGGAGAAAACTAAAGGGGATTTCAGTAAGAAAACAATAAAAGGAAACCACTCTTGTCTATATAGAGATAGAAAACTACAGTGGACTGTGTCAAAATAACTTACAAGCAAACCAGAAGAAATGTATACTTTATCACCAGTAATGCAGAATGGTTTGAGGATATTTAAAAATATTTAGCTGTTTAAATCACTTTCTCTAGAGAAATAAATGAAATAAAAATGTCTGTTTCTAAAGAGACATTTTTAAAAAGAACTATATAAAGAATTTTAAAAGAACTATAAAACTATAAAAGAACTATAAAACTGTCAACACCGCTCACCAGTAAGGAGTTTGGACCAGAACAAACAGCACAGTTCTTCTTCACATAAACAAATCCTTTCATGATACATTTTGATCATATTTTAATTTCTAGTCATTAACAATATGTCAGAATTGTAAGTAAATGAATAAAAGTCAAATTTTTATGTCTAAAGTAAAGTAAATAAAAAAAGTAATCAGTAGCATGCAGGTTGTAGAAAAATTATTCAAGTACTTTAACTTAGTAATTGTACTTAGTTACTTACACCTGGTGCGAGAGCAAAAAGACAATATTTTTTCCTTTACAAATGACGTTACTATACCTGATTTATTTGAGATGTAAAGTGGACTGCACAATTCACAACTCCCCCTGCAGTACCTCTGTGACCCACAAGGGGGTCTCGAACCCCATGTTGTAGACCTCTGATGTAAACCATGCTCTCATCTCTAGCTGTGTTTCTAGGGTCATTGTGGTGTTTGTGAGCCCATCTCCTCCTCAAGTCCTTTGCAGCCTATTTTCTTCATCCTGAATCATTGCTTATCTTCCTCCATTCATCTTCTCTCAGCAGTATTCCTATCCGTAGAGAAACAAAGCATTTCCCACAGCAGGATTCCACGGCTGCTCGGTTTCCTTTGAAGCATCTGAGCAGAGCACCATATTGCACATATTCCCCCCGTACATGGGTTGTAGCAAATAGGACCTTTTTAGTGCTACTCATACACAAGGCCAGGTTTTTAAAGTAAACCTATTTTTCCTGGCTTTAGATTCTCCTACCTGAGTAATAGCCCTCTGCAGGTCCTCTAAAGTTATCATTTGTCATTATCATTATCATTCATCTTTATTATTGGTCCCAACCAAGCCTCTCCGAGAGCTCAATTACTACCACAGAAATAGATGATGCTATTTGTTTACTACTGTCCTCTTACTGGAATTTTACTAATATACAGTGAGTGGGGCAAAAAATATTTAGTCAGCCACTGATTATAAGATGGGTGGTCTGTAATTTTCATCATAGGTTCACTTCAACAATTAGAGACAAAATTAGAAAAAAAGTAGGATTTAAAAAAAAATGTATTAGTAAATTATGATGGAAAATAAATGTTTGGTCACCCACAAACAGACCATGTCTGGTCCTCACAGAACTGTATCATCTTCCTTAAGGAGCTATTTTATCCTCCAGTCATTACCTGTAATAAGGGCACCTGCTTAAAGTCGTTATCTGTCAAAACAACCATGGCCAAGAGCAAAGTGGTGCTGAAGGACACCAGAAAGAAAACTGTAGACCTGCACCTGGCTGTGAAGAGTGAATCTACAAAAGGCAAGAATGTTAATGAGAATAAATCTACTGTGGGAGCCATTGGAAGAAAATGGAAGACATAATAGACCAGTCTTAGTCTGCCTTAATCTGGGGACCCATACAAGATCTCAAAAATACACATTGGTTCATGTCAAATGGTTACAAAGTCATGTCACACAGAAGGAAATGAAAACAAAAACATTTATAAATATATATAATTTTTTTCTTTTGTGTGAAATTACTTTGTAACCATTTCACACAAATCATAGTGTATTTTAACTCATTCTGAATATAGGAACATTCTTTTCCAGGGGGACAGTTTGTAATTCCACTGATGGTAGCCTTTGTTCTTTTGGTCCTAGCACTCTGCAGATCATTCATCAGGTTCCTCCATGAAGTTATGTTCACTGTTCTCATTATCATTTCACAGGTATAGATCTTGCATGGGTCCCCAGATTAATGGAGATAACCAATGGTCTTGTATGCCTATGTCTTCTATGTCTTGAAGACGATGCCTAGCCAAGAAGTGTCCCTTATTTTGAAGGAGTTTGCGACCCTAACCATCGGCAATCACTACACACAGAGAAGTCTGATCCTGTGGAGCCATGCGTTTCGCCCTGCTGAAGGATGTACCTGTCCAGGTCTTTCTGAAGTTTACCCGTGAGAACATGACTTGGAAGAGGATTGGGAGATTATCATTTGGTCAGATTAAACCAAAATAGAACTTTTCGGCACTTGCTTAACTCGTCGTGTTTGGAGGAGGAAGCTGCATCCCAATCACATCATAGGCACTGTGAGGCATGGGGGTGCAAACATCATGATTATGAGCTGTGTTTCTGCAAAGAGGGCAATCACTGATCTTTGTTACGGGAAGAAAGAATCAGAGCATTAAAGAAAGAATGTGGCTCCGTTTAGGACAATGATCCCAAACACACCACTTTACCTAAGAAAGCGTGGCAAATCTAAATAAAACTCATTGAATATACCTGCTTATAACAGGACGAAAGTTTTAAGGGGGAGTATTTTTTGGGACTCTCATACACATTCATCAGCATTTGATGCTTTCTATCCACCTGATCCTAAATTCTTCCTGAGATATTTTCTGCATTTGTGCTGCTACAGGCTTAGACTGCTGGAGGACATAGGGACTTCTTTTCATCATTCCTCTTCATTCTATCTCTAATCTCTCATTCTGCTGTGTTTGCTAGTTCAATCTCTATGATTTGGTCTCTCTGCTTTTTCTCATCAGAGAAGCTAAATCTCGTCTGTTCCTGCTTGGCTGTAACAGCATCCTGGAGAGAAATATCAGCTGTGCTGCTGTCATCAACACCTTTGTTTGTAGATGTTGGAGCTTGGTCTGTTTTTCAGTGTAGTTGTATTTCTCTGACTGTGACTAACTGTATGTGCTCTCTTTCGTCCTCTGACGTGGGAGCTGGCTCGGAGATCATCTGCCTGGCTGTGTGTTTCCTGGACGGGGCCGCCTGTAGAGCTGATTGACAGTTAACTTTTGAATCTCTGCTTCTTTCTGAATGTCTGCTTCTGTGTCCTTGAACCCTAGTCGGCCTCGGCAGATGGCGGCTCACACCAAACCTGGTTCTGCTGGAGGTTTCTTAAAAGGGAGTTTTCCTCTCCACTGTCGCTATAAACATGCTTGGTGTGAGGGATTGCCTTTGAGTCAATGAGTCTATGCAATCAGGCGGCTTTCCTTAGATAGAAAACTTTGAATTAATTTGACTGTATGATCTGGTTGAATTGTCTCTGTAAAGTGCCTTGTGTTGTGAATAGGGTTGTCAAAAGTATCGATACTTTTTTGAGTATCGATACTTTTGAAATGTTGTATCCGGATACAATACTCATTTTTAAAAGTATCGAGACAGTGCTACCACCAGTGGCACCTAAGCAGTCATTCATCTAAAGTGCAGAATAGAGGACAATGCACTTTC